TTGGTAAACAAATTTTTGCAGGGCCACCCAGAAACAGTGAGACACAAAAGGAGAATCCAGTGAACAGATTTTTGCTCGGATCCTCTCTGCCACATTTAAGTTTTATGTGCTAAGGTGAATATCCTAAGATTCCCTTCCTGAAGCATGTTTTTCTATATGAACCTCTTTAGGGAGATAAAAACAACAACAAAAGAAAACCTCTTGAGTTTGTTGGGCATTAATTGTTTTTAACTCTAAGTAATCTGCATGCCAGGGTGGCACATTCTGAGGACACTCAGCTCCTAACCCCCGCAAAATCAATAGGCTGACATCAGAATTCACTCTCTTATTTTAATATTATATGAAAAGTGCCTTTACCTAGAATTCAAAACTAATGTCATCTTTATGGAATCCATAGTTTAAAAGGGCAAAGTTACAGTATATAGTGTAGAACTAGGGGCAGTTTTCCCCCCAAAAGAAGTGAGCCTTACTGGTTGATATAATTTAAAAACAAAGAGCACACTTTTGGTTAGTCTTTTGAAAGAAAGATGTCAGTTATATATATTATCCAGTTAGTCCTTTTAGTTTTCTTAACTGTGCTTTCCAGACTTCTGTCTTTGATTGTGCAGTAACTCAGAGTTATTATTTCAGCAAATTTCTCATAATGACTGTATTATAGCAATGAATGCTATCTATTGGAGCCCAACAGATTTAGCAGCTTAAAACAACCAACATTTATTATCCTATACATTTTCTGAGGGTCAGGAATCCACCAGGGGCTTAGCTGGATGGTTCTAGTTTAGGATGATAGTGAATTGTGGTTAAGATGTCTATGAAGCTAGTCACCCTGAAAGCTTCCTTGGGGCTGACAGATCCATGTCCAAGGTGGCTAACTCACATGGCTGCTGGCAGGAGGCCTGGATTCCTTGCCACATGGGCCTCTCTGTAAGGCTGCTTTAGTGCCCTTACAGCATGTAAGTCACACTCTATTGTTTCCATCTTATTTGTTAGAAGTGGGAATTCAAGGGAAAGAATTAGGCTCTACTTTTTGAATGTAGTATTGAGAGCACTTGTGAACATATTTTAGATCAGGCAATGATCTTTTAGTAGATTTTTTTAACTGTGAGGAAAATATCTTTTGTGAACAGTGATACCACACCTGAAATATAAACTACATTAATATTATTCATAACGGATCCTGGACCATAAATATATGAGGTATTAATGTTTTCATTAATCCAACTTTTAAATGAACATTGGTGTTTGGGAGCCCTCTTTTCATTCTTAGAAGGCCGTCTCATACAGAGCCATAGCTTTAAATATATCTATGCTGTCAACACATTTATATCTTCAATCCCAGATATTTCCTTTAAGCTTCAGAACCAAATACTCATTAGAAATTCCCTTCGAGTAATCTCAAATGTCTAAAATTGAACACTTGATCTCTTCTCCTCATTCTTTAAAAATCCACTTGCCCCCACTTGAGTAATCGCTCATGCCAGAAATGTAGGACTCTTCTTTGACTCCTTACTTCCCCTCATCTAACCCATTACCAAGTCCTATTGAGTCTATTTGTGAACTGTATCTTGAATTCATCCATGTACCACTACCACCCTAATCTTAACTGCCATTATCCTTCTCCTAGATTGCTGCAATATCCTTCTTACTGGTCTACTTGCTTCTGCTTTTGTTCTCTCCAGCCTATTACATAGAAACCAGATAATTGCCTTCCCATCCCATTTAAATTGCAACTCCTTCATATGATCTTGCTTGACTTGGTCCTTGCCTTTTGTCTCTTCAACCTTCCCTCCCACCACACTACCTCTTATTCTCAACATTTCAGAAACATTGTACTTACTTTGCTCTTCTGTGCCTCAGGATCTTTGCACAGACTGTGCCTTATTCCTAAACTGCTTCCCCATTTCTTTATCTGGCTAATTCTTTTATTCTTCAGATCTCAACTTAAATGCCACTTTTCATCATTGCTCCCTTGACCTCTCCATCTAGTTTAAATTAGATCACTAGCCCATGTCCCTCCAGGACATAGTACTTTTCTTTCTTTGCATATTCCACAAGTTATGAGTATCATTTGTATTGTCTGGTTCGATATCTGAACATCTCAATTGTCTTGTTTAATGACTGTGAACTCCATGAAAGCTGGGTCTTTTTGCTCTCATCACTGTTTTCTTGTGTCTAATATAGAATCATGCATATAATAGGCACTTAATAAATATTTAGTAAATATTCAATAGCAAGAACACCGTTCATGAAGGACTTCAGAGTTGGAAGGAATCTGGTCTTTTAATTAGTTTGTTTCCATCATGCCTGTTGTGTCCTTGACAAAGGTACATTCACACATTTTTTCCTTTGCTACTCTGTGAGCAAAGACCCCCAGTTCTTTTAATTGTCTCAAGTGTAGTCAATTTTCTAGCCTTTGCATTCCTGTCATTCTTCTCTAAAGTGTTTAAGGGGCCTGACTAGGTGGAATGAACATGGTTACTTACCCTCTTTGATTATAGCAGTGTGCTTCAATCAATACTTGATAAGATTGCCTTCATGTCTTAGCAATTGTCATAGCATAGTGAGTTTGTAATCAGCTGAAACTCAACATTTTTCTTTAAAAGATTAGGGATTTCCATTGTTAGATTACAATGAGGCATTTGAAACCATTTTACCTTTAGCCTTTCATTGGCTGGTAGCTGTTCTCCATATAAGTTATTGTAGGATTTTTTAGTCTATAAAAATTTCTTGAAGATGGGATCTTCATGGATAAGCACCTGTTAACTTCCTGTGCCTGGTTGGCAAGTGTGTAATAAACATGTATGAGATGAGGAAACATATATTGGGCACCTACTCTGTAGCAGGCTCTCCAAAATATTTTATAATGTATAGTTTACATTATATAATATACATAAAATATTCAGAAGGGGAGTATAGGGTAGCAGTTAAGATCTGGACTGTGGAAGCATATGTCCTTGATGAGAATTATAGTTCTACACTTCCCAGCTGTGTGATCTTTCTTAAACTTTACTTGCCTCGATTTCCTCATCTGTAAAATTAAAATAGTTGTACCTCTCTTATAAAGTAGTGATGATTTGATAAATTAATATTAATATATTCAAGCATTTATAATGGTGCTGGTGCATAGAGGTGAATATGTGTTATTATCTCATTTAGTTCTCAAAAGAATTATGAGTTAGTAATATAATTCTAGTTTCACAGATAGGGAAACTTACCCAGAAAGATTAGGTTACCTATTTAAGGTAGATCCAGGAATTGAACTGTGCCCAGGGTAGCAGAGTCACAGATGTTTCTGTAGAAGGAATCACACATAATCCCTTCCGCTTGAAAGAGATTGTGAGTGTGGCAGGTGCTGAGAGTCTTTCGACCACCCTGCATGATACCTTGGTTTTACCTCCAATGAGACAAGACAGCATATTAGCTTTAAATAAATTGGTGAAGAAACTGACACTGAAAGATAGAACCAATCATAGCAATCAGTTTCCTGTTCAAAACTATGAGCTCCTTGAAGCAGAAACTGTCATGCTCCTATTTGTTTTTCCTAGTACCTTACACTTACTTATATATAACATGTACTCAAAAACTGCTGTTGGTGAATGAATGAGTGAATGAATAAATAGAGGAAAGCTTTGAGGAGGTGAGAGCTGGAGCTAGTAAAGGAGGCAGAAATGATGCCAGGGTTTTTGGTATGGGTGACTAGACAGCACCACGTTTCACTGTGGTAGCAAGTGGAGGAGGAGAAAGCAGGTCTAGTCTAGAGAAGTAAGAAGAAAAGCTAGAGATGATTTAGACAGGTGGAGTATAATCCTCTTAGAGATATTTAATAGCCAAATAGAAATAGAGACAGAGATCAGGGTTGGAAAAATATTGGAAACTTCTTTTGAGTTTGAAACCTGGAACAAGTATCTCTAGAACCATATTGTATAATAAGTTTTCCCAAGAAATACTGTTGTCACATTACAGATGTCATTCTGTAATATTTTAGACTTTACATCTTACTCTCTCAGCAATATATAGATGAGAAGCACATTAATTTTATAGTAGAGAAGGGAGAAATTGCAGAGATTTTAGAACTAAGCCATATATAAAATGTACAATATAAATGACATCTTACTTATAAGCCTTATTTTCTAAATACTGTTAAATAACTTTGGAGTGCTAATTAAAGTAGAAAATTCTTAGGTAGATAAAATAGAAAGCTCAGGTTACTTATGATAGATATTATGTCGGGGTAATTGCATCATAAATAAATAAAATCTTTTTCATTTAGGAATAATTCAGGCTGAAGTCAATAAAATCAATTTGCCTGAACCAACAGAATGGGGGAAAACAGAATTATATTCACCTTTATACAAACTAGCCTTTTTTTCCTGTTATCTATTTAACTATTTTATAATTGCTAAACTTTATTTTTAAAGGTTATGTTTCACATTATCCATATTAAAAGCTCAATTTTATCCTAATAAAGTCATCTTTGCAGTATTTTAGGAAAATAATTTTAAGATATATTCCTATTAGTTTTGCTTTAATGATGAAGAACATGGCACATTTAAAATGTGTGATTTTCTAGATAGGTTTTCTCTTCTATCTATAGAATAAATTATTAGAAAGATTTAAGATATTTTTATCATATCTGCTAAGATTTGAAAGATTATTAATGAATAGTATTTTAAATTCAACTTTTCCTGTTTTATTCTTAATATATTTAGAAATTTTTTTTGGTAGTAACAAAATAATTACTTTAGAGCAGCCAGAAGAGACTATTGAGATTATCTAGTGTACTTAAATTGTTTTACTACATATGGTTAATCTAAAGTCAGGAGAGGTGATAACCTATTACTAAATTATTTAAGCTTTTGCATTACAATGCCTTTCTTTTTAAACAAAGATAGCTTTAATCTTTAAAAATATATTTCATTGTTTAAAGTTCTATCTGGGATTGGTTTTGAAAACTCTTTAGAATTCAGTCATATTACCTTCTTCATATTTTTATTTTTCAGGAACCAGGAGAGACAAGTGGAAGTTGAAGTCATTGTCAAGTGATTGAGACCTTTTACAAGAAAATCTCATTGAATAAAAGTCATTTTTAAATTAATGATATAACAAGACCAGTTATTTAAGGTGACAGTGTACAGGAAACATTAGAATCGAACAATGACTCAGCTATATATTTATATCAGATTATTGGGAGCCTATCTGTTCATCATTTCTCGTGTTCAAGGTAAACCGGTGTTCATTTAAGCAATCTTATCTTTTAAATAATTTATTTCTGTATATAAAAAAGTACTCATTGTAACAATTGCTTTTTGTCCCTTTTTGAACAGTTAGGCCCAGTTAGCAGCATAACTTTTAAGTAAAGAGACAAAGAACACATATGTTAAATAATTTTTTAACTTAATTGTGATAGGGGCCTTTTCAAGTATTGTAAAATCTCAGCCTCTCTGAACCTATTCTCTTATCTGTAACAAAGCATTGTTAGGTATTATGATTCACAGCGTCAGGTCTTATGAGGATAAAATGAGATAAAATAAAATGCCTGACCTACTGCCTAAGGCACAGGGTAATAGGTATTCAAAACTTAGTTTTAAAATTCATATCTTCTTTAAAATACAATAGGAATATAAATCATTTAAAAATCATTTCATTGTTGTTAAAAGACTTTAGAAATATAAATTGCACTTGTATATGCCGCATACTAAAATTTCTTCATAAAGTACTCAAAGTTTTACTTATAACCAACATTGTAACTTTACTATTGTGTGTTCACAGCTTAGACCTCCCAAACAGGAAGTTATTGTGATTACTTTTAGGATCAGATAGACTGTATTTGCACATGAGTTTTTTCCTGTACGGTTTAATCAGAACAGTATTTTAAACTGAAGAGAAAGTACTATTTTGCAAATGGATTTTAGATAGAACTTATTGGACATCTTCATTATCTTAAATTTATGACTTTATAGATTGCTCTTTCATAATGTTTTGTTCACAGTGATATGGATTAATATCTACAAACAAGAAGAAATATGATTAACAGCATAAATCTTTTGAACAATTTCACTTTAGTGTGTGAACATAATGAATTCTGTAGCTTCTTTGTTTTTGGTTAGGTATAAATAGCCTTATTACCATGCTAAAATAGAGCCCTCTTGCAAAAAGCCACTTTTTAAACACTACAATATTTAATAAAACACCTTTACTTTAGCATCTGTTGTTATATGCCTTGCTGATTAGCATCAATCAAAGCTGTTTTTGAAGATGAGTTAAATTAATAGTAACATTTATATTTGCTACTTCGCTCCCAAGTAATCTAGCCTGTTAATTTTTTTAAAATCTATATAGCTCACACAGAGGCAATATGATGTGTCTCATTTTCCAACCTGATTCAAGTTGTTCTATAATAAACTTTTTTAAATGATGTAAATTGGTAATTAGTTATCAAGTGTAAGTGAAAAAAATCTTAGAATTATATTTATCAGGTAAAGAGCAAAATTTGTTATATTTTCTTTCAAAAAAGATTAGTTTGTAGTTGGTTCACATGGTAAGAAAAAAATGTTCGCTCTTAAAGAAAAGAACTAAAACCAATGTGGGAAAAATGTTATTTCTTAGAGATTACTAAGAAGGATTGGTGTTAATGGACATGATTTTGAATGGTGTTAATGGAAATGATTTTGACTTTGTCTTCAACTTTTTCTTGAATTGTGCCTTGGGAAAGTAAATTTCTCTGTACCTTGGTTCCCTTATTAGAAAATAGAAATAACAAAACTTACCCTAAACATAAGCAGGATTATTTTGAGCATCAAATGTTATAATATAGATTAAAGTGCTTTTACACTGAGATAAAGTTCAGTTGGAACAGAGGAATGAATCATCTGATATTACTATCTGATAGATATTTAGTCCTTGTTGTTGACTTGGTCACAAATTTTAGAAATGGATTTAGCTTTAAGTAAAAATTACCCAACAACTTAAACAAATAGAGATTTGGTTTTTTATAAAGATGGTAGGTGTTTTCTGGTGTTCATTCAGTAGTTGAATGGTGTCAAGGTTGACACCTTTGTGATACTTTTGGCTTTTCCCTCATGGTTACAAAATGGCTGCTGCTATCTGCATTGGAGTAAGGAAAAATGGGGAAAGGATCAGCACTTGCCTCCACTGGACCATATATCAGGAAAGCAAAAGTGTTCCCAAAAACTAATCCTCTGACTTTATCTTGTTTTATTAGCTAAACTGAGACAGTTGCTAGGACTACTGGAAAACTGGGAAACAGGATTGTCACAATCAGCTTAGGTTAATATCTAAATCCATTGCCTAGGGCTGGGTACATATTCCCCCCAGACAAAATCAGATTTCTGTTAACTAGGAAGACAGGGTATTGGGGAGGGGGAGTGGCATGTGCAGGGATAGATATTCATGGGGCAACTAAAAGGTTCTGGAATAGATTCTATCTCTTATTAGTTAAGATGTTTTCAGCTATAAGTAACAAAAACCCAAAATAAAATGGCGTAAACAGTAAGGAAAATGTAAGATCACATGTCAAAAACTCCGAACACAAGAATAGTCCAGTCAACTGAGTCATTGGCTCATCAGGTTCTTTATTTCAACTGTGCTGTTCTCCATATAGCAGTTTATCCATACGTTAACTCAGTTCATGGCCACAATGTGGCTGCTGAGGGGCCAGACATCTCATGCAGATGGAGCAACTTCGAGTTGATGGCATTCAGTGGAAGAAGAGGGATGGATGTCTCTTTTCACTTGGTAAAAAAATCTTTCCCCAGGCACGGCCCCACTTTTCCCCCAACAGACTTCCTTCTCATGGTATTGGACAGAATTTATTATTTGCTCTCATGTAAACAGTGGCAAAGGGAAAGGAACTAAAATTGTTAGATTAGACTTACGATTATCTCTACTGAGGGTAGGGCTGTGCTTCCTTGAATCACATGAAAGAGGGGCAAACATTTAAACAAAAAAAGCGTGTGTGTGTGTGTGTGTGTGTGTGTGTATTGCCAGCAGGTAAAGGGGAGTAGAACAACTAACAGTATCTGTGGTAGGGCACCACATTTGTCTTTCTAACATCATAAATACCCTTTCCCCCATGCACAAATGAAAAGTGCTTATGTTGATATGAAATGTTCAGTTTCTCCTCAAGGGGATTTGTAACCCAGAATTTCATCCACTTAATATACTCAGCTACTAATCCAGGACTTCTGGAAAGTATATAGATTTCTCCATCAGGTCCAGATGTGACTCTTCATGGTCCAGCAATGTGTGACTAAAAGAGAAATTATTGATGCCTAGCACACCTAATATTCAATGATGAAGAAAAAATAGGATAAGTACTATATAAACTCCCACTCAGAGGAGGGAAGACTTGGAAAAAACCTTTAGTAGTCACTGTTCCATAGCACTTAGATTAAGGAAAACTACTGTCGATTACCTCATACATGCAATGCATTGATATCTCACTGGTCTCTACAACTCTCCTGTCTTTTGCTTTCTGATTCATATTCTAGATGTTTCATCTTAAAGAATAGAGAGGGAGAGTTCCTCTTCTTATACAAAGGAAGCCAATAAGATTTCTAGGAAAGCAGGAAAAATTGTTTAGTGAGAAATGAAAATCTAATAAAATCATTGATGCCAAATTTGCTATGAATGACAAAAGGAGCCTGGTATAAATGTGCCTGTATACAGTTACTTCTGTCTTTCAGCTATATGTATTTGGATGTTTTTCTAAGCATGTAAGCTATGAAATATTTTTTGCATGTGTTTGTTTTGAAACATAATCTATAGCCCCAGCCCACCCCAGGCCTCTTAATTTTATACTTTGTAAATAATAACACTTGCTGGTAGAAAGAGATCGACATGTTTCAGGAACTGACAGAAGGCCAGTTTGCCTGAGCAAGATGAATGGGAGGTGTTGTGAGTTGATGTTGGAGAGGTACACAGGGTCCAAATCCTGCTGGGCCTCAGTAGGCATGGTGGAGGATGGTGGATTTTATTCTGAGTGCATATGCCATTAATTGGTTTTAAGTAGCGGAGTGATGGGATCCAATTTATGTTTATAAGATAACTGGCTGCTACATGGGAAATGGACTGGAGGGGCCAAAAACAGAAGTGGAGAGATCACTGTGGAGATTCTTACCTTAGAAGTTGCTTGATATAATGGGTCCAGGTAATAGCAGTGGAGTTGCAGAAAAATGGGAAAAAAATGAGGTATATTTTGGAGGTTGAGCCAAAAGACTAGGGGAGAACCAGCTTTGAGGATAAAAGAGTTCCATTTTGGACAAGTTAATTTTGAGATAATGAAGCATGTTGAGGCTGGAGGGATAAATTGAGGAACCATCAGCAAAAAGATTTGTTAACCATGGGAATGGGTGCTAGGGAGAGAGTGCAGAGAAGCTGTTGCTAGATATTTTTCTTTGTATCCATGCCTCTGCTTTTTGAAATCTTACAGCTTTAAGATGTGGCTCAGATTTCATTGCTATTGATACCCTAGGATGAATTTGTGTTATTAGCTCCTTCCTTTGTTTACATTACACCTTTGTATTATATCAGTTTTCAAATTGTGTTTATTTATGTGCTTGTCACCCCCTTTCCCCTTCACCTCATTCCAAGTTTCTTAAGGATGAGATCAGTTTCCAGCTAGCTAAACCATAGCAGACTAGAATCCAGGTTTCTTCATTTCCAGCTCAGTGGATAACTCTTCCTGCACCTCCTCACTTTTTTTTTTTTACATCTTAACATAAATGAGGTCTTTAAGTTTTGTAGTATTTATAGGATTAAGTGAAGATTATTAAAATTCAAGATATGGAATCACTAAAACTTATTTAGCAGTACATTCTTTTCCTGTTATCACTTGTAGATACGTGCTTTTTCTTCTCTTTCAATAGTTCATCTCACCAGTATGGCTAAATTTAAAGTCAAGTCCACATTATTAAGCCTTGAGCCATTTATTTAACATTTATAATTAAATACATACCCAATTCTCTTAATCTTTTATGCTTGTTTGTCTCTATATTTTATTCCCTTGAGATCAACCTTATAAGGAATAGCCTAGTTGATTTCAGATTATTCAAGGGGAGGAAGGAATACTAAAACATTTAGTTCTGTTCTGCTTTCAGGCTGTACCAGATATGACATTATCTGTCATTTGAGGCTACTAGACTCCGATGCAAGAATAACTTTCATTTTCTGGCAGCGTAGTCTGGATTTGAACCAGTGACCTTAAGATAAAAGGCACCAGATAAAATGATTAGTCCCCATGCTCTCACAATTCCTTTACTTAAGCAATTAAAGTCCAAAGCAAGATGCTTAGTAACTCCACTTTTGCATAGAGGCACAAGTAAAAGACTTATTTTTTTAAGCTAGTCACAAGTTTTGAACCAAAGAGTTTAAGAAAAGAAACATAATTTGTATGTTTTTCAATGATTACAGGCAACCTCAGCCTTCCCTGCAATTCCTTCCATGTACCTTTCTTAAAAGTTATGACCGTATTCTTCCTTGTGCTTCTTTTTTATCTTTCACTAGTGCAAAAGTTGTGACATAGTCATCTCTATATATCTCATCAGTACCTGAGATAGTAATTCTGTGCATAATAGGTTATTAATAAATGTCTGTTACCTGTGTGAATGAAATTTTAATTAAGGAAACACGTTAGCTGCAATTATTGAGATAGGAAAGCTTAGAAACTTTTCCTCATTGAATATTGAAGTCAAAGAATTAACTTTTCAGAAATGGTTTATTTACAAATTTTATTTATGATTATAGGGCAGAATCTAGACAGTATGCTCCATGGTACTGGGATGAAATCAGACTCCGATCAGAAAAAGTCAGAAAATGGAGTAACCTTAGCACCAGAGGATACCTTGCCTTTTTTAAAGTGCTATTGCTCAGGACACTGCCCGGATGATGCTATTAATAACACATGCATGTAAGTATATTATGCAGCCTTTCTTAAAGTTAGGAGAATAGGGTTGCATTTAGTGGCATTTTAAGAATTGTTTACATTGTCTAAGTTTTTTTTTTAACTTTATATATATCATGTCTTTCCAAAGAGCCAAAAATCTTTTTGTACTGTATATAGGAAGATGTGTTACTATTGTAATACATGGTTTCTTTTTAGAGTAACATTGCGATATAGCTTTTTAAATGAGATAAAAGGAATCGGGTATTTGTGTAACATTTTGAGTTTATTTAATGATCTTTTTATCATAAAGTTATTAATATTCATTAAAGAAAACATTACCAAAAATATGAAAATTCCACTAAAAACTTGTAATTCTAAATTGTCTGATATATTTTACAGATATGTAAGAATATTATATTTATTTAATTTTATGTTATCGTCTTACAAACTTCGCAATCCAAATCTGATTTATATAACCATTTTAATTTTCCTACTTCATTGTTAGCTACTTAATTTTATGTTTACATTTATATATGATCATGTAATTCTATTCCATATTTGAAGAATTAGTTTACTAGCCAAAAAATTCTCTGAAGAACCTAATCTCATCTGTCAATTAGTTCTCTCCATTTTATAAGGGTAATAATCAATGTCTTGTTTTGTATTGTCCTGATAATTGTATGTTCTTTGAATGTGACCAATATAAAGCATAAATGTTTACATGTAAAATCTTGAAAGTATATGATAGTTTCTTACCTCTTATATTTGTTGTTTGTCTTCTGATGGTGGTTGACTTTATTGTGACAGACTAGGTGATCTATCATAGAGGAGTACTCCCCCACTATGTCACCAAGCAATTTCTTGCCAAAATTCTTGTCTGTAGTGCCTGCCGGGTATTTGTTAGTGACTGAGTAATCCAGAGTATAACTGAATCATCAATATTAACAGAAATTTGCCCCACACTTAATATTTTCTCCTTACAGAAAATAAATAATGCTAAAAAGAAAAAGAAAATGAATAATTCTTAGATTCTTTTAAGTAGAAGCAATATACTTAAAGATGTGAACAATAAGTGGGAGCACACAAAAAGCTTTTGGAAGTTTTTTTCTACCCATTAAAGTCTAAATGAATATATTAGGGGGAAACTCCAACATACTAATGTTAAAATGACAAAATTTCATTAGATGCAAATACATTTGTATAAATTTCTTAAAAATTCAGCTGTTCAAAAGTTCGTTTTTATGTTCAGTAAAAAATGCCTCTCAGGATCTTAGTCTGTTCTTCCCAAGTATACTTTGTCATTGAGTCTGTTTTTGTATGTTTCACAGAAAAGTTTGTTTTTGTTATTATTATGAACAGTATGTGAATACTGAAAATCTTATGGGTAAAAAAAAGACAGTTATTTTTAAGTATATTTTTAAACAAATCAGCTTTCTGTAGTCATATGACTGTGATTAGCAAAGAGAAGTTACATAATAATTCGTATTTAGAGAACTTATTTAACAGAAATCCTTTTCCACCTTACAAAAGGGCTCTTATTAGACCTTTAGGTTTTAGTTCAGATGTGACAGCTTTCATTTGCTTTAAAACCCATGCCGTTTGCCAATAAATTACACGTGAATACAATTCTAATTTAAAAAATAAGGTACTAAAGGTGATCAGTACCTGGTCAAATTTAAACTTCAATTTAGTAATTTCTGATATGAAGTTATGTTTTTTGTTCTTTTTTTTTTTTAGTTTTTTAGTTTTTTGTTTGTTTCTTTTTTTCTTTTAGAACTAATGGGCATTGCTTTGCCATCATAGAAGAAGATGACCAGGGAGAAACCACATTAGCTTCAGGGTGTATGAAATATGAAGGATCAGATTTTCAGTGTAAGGTAAGATCTTATTTGGGGCCTATGGAATAAAGAAGGGAGGGGCTACATGAAAAGCATTGATTTTCCCTAGGAGAAGTGTGCCTGGTCTGCACATTGTTGTATGTTCTTGTAAGCTACTATATTGGGAGAAGCTTAGCTCTTACTTCAAGTATTATGATTGTGGTAATTGAAGTTCCAGATTATTTTACTTTTAAAAAAAGTTTTAAGTCATTCTGATTCTAAATTATTATAGCTGCAAAAAATTGTACTGTCACACTTGTGACTTATTTGTAGATTATAAAATTGACTGAAAAGACTTTAAAGTGTTGGGCAATAATCTTTGTATCACTCTGAGACAACTTAGAAATGGTAAGTCCTTGTAAGGAGATCTCAGTGGAGCTATTTTAACAGCAGCAGCAGAGTAATCAGAGGATTAGTAATGGTTTATGAACATCCCCATAGTACTCTGGGTTATAAACTTAATCTCTTCAAAATTCTGAGTAGTAATTTTGCCCCAGGGGATCCTGCCAATGTTTCTGAAAAGCAGCTTAAGGTAGAACTGTTTACACATACAAATTTAAACTTTGGCAATTTTAGAAAATTATTTGAATTATTAAGAAATTCTCAGGTTTGATAGAAACCTAAAAGGTTATATGCATCAACTTCTCAGCTGATGTTTGGAATCCCCCCCCCCCCCCCCGCGACACACACACACACACACACACACACACACAGTGCATCCCATTTATTTTCTGTGTGTTACAGGAGCTCATTACCTTCCACGACCACATATTTATCTATAAAGTGACCTGACTTGATCTTTAGAAAGCTCCCCATGACTGCAGAGTCTATCTTCCTTCCTGCCTTTTTGGTCCATAGAGAACAAATCTAATCCCTCTATAATATGATAGCCCTTTACTATGTGAAGGAAGTTTTTTTTGTCCTGCTTTCCTCCCCATACCCTCTAGTCTTTGCCCAATGAAAATAATAGTTCACAATGACTTCAGCTGCTCCCTATATGATCAGCTTTAGAGTTACTAACTCTCCAGTTTCTCATTGTAATATGCAGAATTGAGTGTTCTGACCAGGAAAAAAAGGCAGAGAATGAGTAACTCTTTTCTCTTTTTCTAAAACAGCCAACTCTTGTTAGATACTTGACTGTCACTCTATATTCTTGAAGCACTGAGCTTTCTCTTAGCTGAAATCCCCATGTCTTTCATTCATGCTACTGCTTAGCCACATCTCTTCATTCTTTACTGATGCTGTTGGTTTCTTGACACAAATAAATTGATGGGAATAGAACGAGTTTTATTATATAGTTGTCACATACTTGTCTATATTAAATTCATCATATTAGAATCAGTCCTTTGCTGTAATTTGTCAGAATTTGGGGGGATGCTAATTTGGTTGTTTCTTCAAGTTTTATGCCATTTGCATGTTTATTAACCACACATACTATACATTTCTTCGATACTTAAAAAATATCAAAGAAAGAGCTGTTGTTAGAGCACTGAGCTCAGCAGTAGGAACCAGTATCTTGCAGGCTTCATGAACTAAGCGTATCCCAAACTGAATTCACCAATATAAGTTAGTTGTTAAACTTAATGATCTGTATTCAAATCTTTACTAGTTGTAAAACTTTGGGCAAGGAGCTTTACTCTTGTTTTCTCATCTATAATGATGTTGCTGTAAGGATCAAATGAGATAGCATATATGTAAACAGTTTAGTATAATTGGCACATAGTAAGAGCTTAATATACATTAGCTTTTTAGCTTTTACTGTATTTTTTTATGTAACTGAACAGTCTTTAAGCTGGATTACACATATTCCTGGGTACACACAGACTATGTTACACAAAGATCACATAGACTTGTGGGTGGTTTTAAGGGAATCACTTTAGGTTTATAGATCCTACACTTCCATTGGACCCATTGGTTAATATTTATCTCCCTAAGAACAGAGCCTCACAGCAATTTCTCTTTTCCCTCCTCTCTTTTCACAGTCACCCTTTTCACAGTTTATAGATCAAGCATCTGGGATGTAAAACCTCAAGTTTCCAAACAGCGTTGTAATTAGAAATCTAATGCTGTGGGAAATGTGAGAACGTCAAATATGTTTGCATGTCAGGTGGTTTTCAACTTTTTGCTTTCAACCAAATTGTTAGATCTTTGAAAATTTTTGATAATAGATCATTATGTGAGTTTAGCATATGATTGGAAGGTCTTTAAAGAATTACAACACAACAGTATAACAAACTCCTCCATTATTATCTTTTATGTGAACAAAGTATGCTAGTACCGACCCCCAAAAAAGCAAAATAGGAAAACAGGAATAAAATTAATGCTGAACTTTCTCATTCTAGCAATAAGTAATATTTATCCATGAATTTATGAACTACTTTTTAAAAAAAATTTTCATCCATCTCATACCTTTCCAACAAAATTTTCTTTTACTGTTAGTATTTTAATAACATTGTTTTGATCAATTTTATACTCATAGTAATTGTGATGATAAATCAAACCAGAATTTTTTAAAACTTAAAGTCGTATTGTCACAAAAAGTAAAATACATTAATTTATATTTGTATATATTTTTGATATGGAGAATCATGTCAGTACATTAGGACATAGTTATTGTGGGACATGTGGAAAGGAAATAGGAGTTAAAAGAGAAAAGAGAACATTAAAATTTCTAATTGTTAAACATTTTTTTTTTAAATAATGATAATGGGTGTCGAATTGCTATGTTATTTAGATTCTACTGTATAGACTTAAGAATGACAATTTATGTTAAAATGTCATGTACTGTAAGCCAGAAATTATTAACATATTCTTTGCAGCTATTTATAATAAAATGTTAGGTGGCAGCCTAAAAATGTGTGTGGGGATACATTGTTTTTCAGAACTCCTTTAGGGGTTACACAAGCAGGAAATTTTAACTTATCTAATTTTCTTTGTATCTTATAATATCACTACCCATTTCCTTAGCACCTAACCTGAGGAGAGAACAACTTTTTTAATTTCACCCTAAACTTTTTTCTCCTAGTGCTTTTACATACTGTCAGGTTTGGATCAGAACAGATTCAAATGATAATCACCATGCTTTGCCCAGACCTTGATTCCCTCCTAACCCCCACAGTCTCTGTTGTTAAATCTAGCTTATTCTGTTTCTTCCTGTAGAATGAATTATTTCTCAGAAACTACTCTGCCATTCCTTATAATTTGGTTTCAGTTCCTTTTTCATGTGCCATTCTCTCACCTCTTCCCACCCAAGCTCAATAAATCTCCTATTTCACGAATGCCAAATGAGTTTTCTCATGAGGATTTTTATTACCCACATAAATCTAGAGATACAAATGGACTTGTTTGGAAGAGGGCAGTGGGGAATACAGGAATGGGAAAGGTTGTGTCATCAACTTTATAATCTAGACACACCTGACTTTAGCCTACTCACTTAACCTGCATAAAAGAAAGATGTGAGGTGGGTCTGCTGTTGGTTATTCATAGTGAAACCACATCGAGTCTTCTAGGGGGCTATAAGCATTTTCTGCTTTTTCTAGAATCTTGACTATGATCCACGTCAAGTTCACTAAAGGAAGAATTAATTTATTAAATACTTACTGTTTGTATTTAATATGCTAGTTACTTGGTATATTGTACCCCATTTCCTCCTAGTTACCCTGTAAGACAGATAATTTTTATCTTCCATTTTATAGTAGAGGACACTAAAGCCCAGAGAGAAGTAAGTTCATTGCTTAGAGTCACACAGTTAATAAGTGGCAAAGCTAGGATTTAAGCTATTTTATTCCAGGGCCCTCACTTTTTCCATAATACTATGCTACCTCCAATCTGTTATTGGCAAAGTCTACTTCATTTACTTTTTAAAGAAAAGGAATATAACATTTAGCTATCTAGTTGCCAACACACCTTGTTTTAAAATCTTTAAAATTATACTTGTCTTTCAGCCATCTCACAAGTGCTCTCATCTTCATGGGATATAATTCACCTAGCTTAGAAGATAGGAACTCATACAGATATAGAAACATTGTAGGATCTCTTCATACATCCAGGGTATCAGTTCCCACTTACTGGTGTTCGGTCTGCCTTCTTCATTCTTACTATCATTCTTGATAGGGAAGACCAAAACAAAACAGGAGTTGAAGAAATGTACATTTTCTTTGTTCTTCATTACCTGCTGTTTTGTCAGTAATACATCAATTGCTTGGTAGCCTGTCTTCAAGCACTGCCAGAGAAACCCGCTCTTGGTTTTTCTTTGCATTTTCTTTTCTGCAAAGCTAAGCTCATTTTGAACTTTAGCCTTCCTGGAACTATTCTTGGATGCTTGGCATTTCTTTTATTCATCTTTAATTGTAATACTCTATTCCATCTTTTGTGTAAGGTTTTTTTCTAGATCTGGGATTATTTCAGTCACTGGCATAACTCCTAAAATTTTTCTTTCTCTTTATGATCAGTTGTTAAAAAGTAAAAAATTTAGTTAAAATGTAAAACTTGTCCTTTTGGAGGTTTCCAGTGTTCTTGACCCATCTTCTCTGATAGAATCTGAAGTCCTATACTTTCGTTCATATTTTTAAAGTAATACCTGATGATACTGAGGTATTTCCTTTCTCACCATCTGATATTTAAGAATAACCCAGTCATTTTCTGCCTATACTCTTGCTACTTTTATAATAAGCAATTTCTTTGTGTTGCTATTTTGGTCCAGAATGGCAATTCTCCCAGGAGGTACTGAAATATGAGCATTTAAGTTAAGAGCTTACTAAGTACTATACTGTTAGTCAAATAAAACTTCACATGTAATTGTTGATATTTGTTCCCATGACTACAGTCTTTTCTCTGTGCTTGTTTCTGACCTGTTAGGAACACATCTCATATCTGGTTGGTGGCCTCTAAAAAACTTTCAGGAATATCGTTTTTATATTTTGCCCTTTTCCTCACTTGTGTATGCTTCAGTTTGCTTCCACATACAGTTTATTAGTTTCAACAGAGTTGTTATATGCAAAATCTATAGTATCTTCTCTTTACTCCATGACCTTTCCTAACCTGTCTTATTTGGCCTAAGACATCCTGCACTTTTTAGTCTGATCTTATTTCCTCCATCTAAGTCTCAGCACTACTATAGATCATATTTACCCTACTAATTTATCGTTGTAATGAAATATATTACCCATGTTTTTTAAGAAAAGGGCTCATGACTTTAAATACTTTTTAACTAAATACTAATGAATAGTAATATCAAAGTTTGGTGGGCAGTGCTTATCAACTTTTGTTTATAATTGGTTATGCTCTAGTGTTCTAACATACCATCTACATATATAGGTTTTCCTTAAGAAAAACCATTTTATATTCTTAACAACTACAAACCATTTCAGCACAAATCCTATTTTTAAATTTTTTTACACATAAAATTTGCAGATTCTTTTTACTCACTGAATTCGAAATTATATTTTTTGAATATTAAAAAATTTTTCATCAGCAATTTAGTATATCAAACCATTTCTAATTTTATCATTTCTCTTCCTCTAGGATTCACCAAAAGCCCAGCTACGCCGGACAATAGAATGCTGTCGGACCAATTTATGTAACCAGTATTTACAGCCTACACTGCCCCCTGTTGTTATAGGTAGGTTAGCAGAGAAAAGTGTGATTATGATTCTCAATAAAATGTTTTCTTTGGTTTTAACAATAAGCAAGCTTTTTAGAATTTAACACTACAGATTATTTTTTTCTTTTTAATAATATGTAAAAGATAATATGTTTACTTCATTGTTTACTTTCATTGTCAGGTCCATTTTTCGATGGTAGCATTCGATGGCTGGTTGTGCTCATTTCAATGGCTATCTGCATAATTGCTATGATCATCTTCTCCAGCTGCTTTTGTTACAAGTAAGACAATAATTATTTTGATGTAAAACATTTTGTTGAATATTAGGAATAAATAGTTGTTCTTAAAGCCAATGGGCAGAAACCATTGACTGCTAAATGTAATTCAGAAACCATTAACTTGCATTTACTGGTTATGCCTCCTTTAATTAACTAGATTATAGTTTCCTTAAGAGAAAAGAGGATCTTATTACCAGTCATTTCATTGGACACAACTTTATACTTCTTGTTATATTCATGAGTACTTATGATTTTCTTATTTACGAAATATTGAATTTTCTTACATCTGAATATTTAAAACCGATTCCAAGAAACCAACTGTATGATCAATTTTTAGTTATTTGGGTCTTAAGAATCATTTCCATTTAGTCAGGATTTCATAAGAAGTTACCAAAAGAGAAGAGTAATGAGGGAGTGAATTTCAAAAATAAAACATTATCTTACTAGCATATGAATAGACAGAGATCAGGAACAGGTTACTAAACCCATAAATAGACACAAGTATATAAAGAAATATATGATAACGGTAACATTTCAGATCACTGAGGAAAAGATGGATTATTCAATAAGTAGATTTGGGAATAGGGAGCTATATAGGAAAAAAATGAAGTTGAATCAGTTCTCTACACTAAAATAAATTTTAACCAACAACCTATGGAGAAATTTTAAAAATAGTCTGAGTATAGAAGACCTTCATGTGTCTGACACAAAACTTTGAAGCTCCTAGTCAGGATGGCGGAGTAGGTGAATGCTGTGCTTGCCTCCTCTCATAACTACTTCAGAATTACAACTAAACTACAGAACAACCATCATTGAGAATCACTTGAAATCTAGGTGATCTAAAGTCCTACAACTAAGGACATACTGAAGAATCCATTTCCAGACTGGTAGGAGGGGCGGAGACACTGAACCAGCTGGCCCCACACCCGCGTGTGGCAGTTAAAAATCGGGAGAGATATCTCTGCTGCAGAGGTCCCCTATGAGAAGCGAGGAGTCCCAGCCTCATACCAGCTTCCCCAGCCCAGGGTTTCAGTGCCAAAAGAGAAGTCTTCACAACTTCTGGCTGTGAAAACCAGAGGAGATTGTGGCTGAGCGAGATGGAGGGCCGACGGGGTGTCAGGTATTTCTCTTAAAGGGCCCACGCATGGCCTTATTCACTGATGGGCTCACTTGCTCTGAGTTTCAGCGCTGGGGCAGCAGCCTGAAAGGTGCCAGAGACCTATGGGCATGAACTGAATTGTCTGGCTTCAGAGCAAGGGCTGGAGGGACAGCTTTCTCCCAGACAGAAGTGCTAACAGAAGCCATTTGTTCAGTCCCCAACCCCTCCACCCCCCGCCAACCCAGTGAATGCGCAGGCAGGTGCCTTATCTGAGTCTCCATCAACCTGGCTAATACCAATTGCCCTACTCTGGTGATTCCCTGAGACCTTGGCCTACCAATTTGCAAGCCCACCCAAGCCACTTCCAGTGACTTTTTCATACAGACGGCCTGTCTTAGCTTATGCTGCAGACTCTCCTAAAATTTCTCAAAGGTTCACAAACCCCAGATAAGCAGCATCTGGCTATGACATGTCCCATACCTCTTGGTAAGCAGCCCCCAAGCCCAGTAGTAGCGGCAGCTGGCCTCAGTTCACGGCGTAGCCTCTCCTAGGCACCACCAAGCTCAGCTCTAGTAGCAACAATCTGCAGATCACTTTGTAGTTCACACTTAGTGGCCCGGGACAGGGCACAGGCAGTGGCTGACCTTGGCCAGCAACAGAGCCCCTCCCAAGAGACCTCAGAACCAACACATCCAGTGACTAGCTTTAGGCCACACGAGAGCACCACCCAAATACCTCCACAAACAATACACTCAAAGGGCAGATTGGGCAGGCTCCAGAGCCCCGCTAAAGCAAATCCTGCTCTGTAGGATCCGTTTATGTATATCAGCTCCTCCACTGTAGTCACAGCCAGTCTTCACATCCAATCAGCCCCAGAGTCAGTCATTCTCATTGATGTGCAAACAGCAAGCAAAGCTCAATTACAACAGAAGAGCATATACCACCCACATGAAGGAAACACCTGTAGTCCCAGCTCAGGTGACTAGGGAGATTGCACCACTGGGCCCTACAGGACACCTACATAAGGCCACTCTACTAAAAACAGGAGACAAAGTGTTCTACCTAATACATAGAAACAAAAACAAGGAGGCAGCCAAAATGGGGAGACAAAGAAACATGACCCCAATAAAAGAGCAGAACTAGGCTCCAGAAAAAGAACTAAACAAAATGGAGACAAGCAATCTACCAGATGCAGAGTTCAAAACACTGGTTATAAGGATGCTTATTGATCTCAAAACTTCAGCAAAGAGATAGAAAACATAAAAATAGAGACAGGAAACAAAAAAGAATGAGTCAGAAATGGACACTACAATAACAAATAAAGTATACATTAGAGAGAATCAACAGTAGATTAGATAAAGCAGAGACAAAGAGAAAATCTTAAAAGCAGCAAGGGAAAGGCAAAAGCAGTTTGTTACCTACAAGGGAGCTCACATAAGACTGTCAGCTGATTTCTAAACAGAAACTATGATGGCCAGAGGGACTGGCATGAAATAATCAAAATGATGAAAAGTAAGGACCTACAACCAAGATCTACCCAGCAAGGCTGTCAAGTAAAATTGAAGGTAACTGAATTGCCAAAGCCATCCTGAGAAAAAAGAATGAGGCTGGAGGCATCACTCTGCCCGACTTCAAATTAGACTACAAAGCAACAGTAATCAAAACAGCATGGTATTGGCAGCAAAACAGACACATGGACCAGTGGAACAGAATCGAGAGTCCAGAAGTAAACCCATATTTATATGGGCAAGTAATTTTCGACAAAAGAGCCAAAAACATATAGCAGAGAAAGGAAAGCCTCTTCGATAAATGGTGCTGGGAAAACTGGAAAGCTACCTGCAGAAGATTGAAACTAGACTGTTGTCTATCACCAACACCAAAATTAACTCAAAATGGATTAAGGAACTGAATATAAGACCTGAAACAATAAAATGCGTAGAAGAAAACATAGGAATGAAACTCATGGACCTTGGACTTAAAGAGGATTTTATGAATTTGACCTCAAAGACAAGGGAAGAGTGAGCAAAAATAAATGAATGGGACTACATCAAACTAAAAAGCTGCTGCCCAGCAAAAGAAACAGTCAACAAGGTAAAGAGACAACCATCGAATGCGAAAATATATTTGCAAGCAACACCTCCAATAAGGGCCTAATATCCAAAATATACAAAAAACTCACACAATTCAAAATAACAACAAAAAAATGATCCAATCAAATAATGGGCAGAGGACCTGAACAAACACTTCTCCCTAAAGGACATACAAATGGCAAACAAATATATGAAAAGATGCTACAATGAGATACCATCTCACACCTGTTAGAAAAGCTATAATCAATAGGACAAGTAATAAAAAATGCTGGAGAGGATGTGGAGAAATAGGAGCCCTCATACACTGCTAATGGGACTGCTAATTGGTACAGCCACTATGGAAAGTGGTATGGAGGTTCCTCAAAAAACTAAGAATTGACCTACCATATGATCCAGCAATCCCTCTACTGGGTATTTACCCCAAAGACTTGCGAACCCATATCCGAAAAGATATTTGCACACCAATGTTGATAGCAGCATTATTCAGAGGCCAGAACATGGAAGCAACCAGTATCCTACGACAGATGATGGGCTAAAGAAGCTGTGAAACATATAGACAATGGAATATTACTCAGCCTTAAGAAGAGATGAAATACTGCCATTTGCGACAACATGGATAGACCTTGAGATAATCATGCTAAGCGAAATAAACAAGACAGAAAAAGTTGAAAATCACATGATATCACTTATAAGTGGGATATAAACCTAAATGCAACAAACAAACAGGACAAACAGAGACTTATGGACATGGACAATAGACTAGTGGTTATCAGAGGGTAAAGGGGAGGGGAGAACTGCGGGTGGTAAACACACAATAGAATATACAGATGTCAAATGATAATGTACACCTGAAAATTATATAATCGTATTAACCAGTGTTACCCTAATAAACTTAATTAAAAAAAAAAAAAGTTGAAAGTAAGATAAATTGGTTTCCAAATAGGAAAAAGCTAAGGGAATTCATCAACACCAAGCCAATATTACAAGAAATGTTAAAAAGACTTTTTTAAGAAGAAGAAAAAAAGACCAAAGTTATGAATAATAAAATGGTAATAACTACATATCTATCAACAATTACTTTAAACGTAAATAGATTAAATACTCCAATCAAAAGACATCAAGTGGCTGAATGGATAAGAAAACAAGACCCTTACCATATGCCTACAAGAGACTCACTTCAGATCACAAGACACAGACTGAAAATAAAGGGATGGAAAAAGATATTTCTTGAAAATAGAAAGAAACAAAAAAAACTGAGGCGGCTGTACTTACACCAGATAAAATAGATTTTTTAAAAAGGCTATAATGAGACAAGGACGCAGTAATTTCACTTCTGGGTATTTATCTGAGGAAACCCAAAACACTACTTCAAAGGGACATGTATATCCATATGTTCATTGCAGCATTATTTACAGTAGCCAAGATACGGAGGCTACCTGGGTATCCATCCATGGATAAAGAAGAGGTGGTACATATATGCAATGGACTCAGCCATAAAAAAGAATGAAATCTTGTCATTTGCATCCACCTGGTTAGACCCTAGAGGGCACTGTGCTGAGTGTAAGTCAGACAAAGAAAGACAAATGCCATATGATTTCACTTATTTGTGGAATCTAAAGTATAAAAATAAACGAACAAACAAAACAGAAACAAACTCATAGAGAACATTTTGATGGTTGCCAGGTGGGAGCGGGGTTAGGGAGTGAGAAAAAGGGGAAGGGATTAAGAAATACAAATTGGTAGTTACAGGATAGTCATGGGTATGTCAAGTATAGCATAGGGAATATAGTCAATAATATTGTAATAACTACGGG